TGGGGGGGGGCCCTGGCCGGGCGGGCAGCCGGGGGCCTCGGGGGAAGAAGCGAGTGCTGAGCGGCTGCGGCGCTCGAGGCGCGTTCCCGCCGGCTTGCCTTGGAGGTCTCGTAGGTGCTGGGCGGAGGAAAGCAGCGGGGTTTTTCGGGAGGGGCTTTCGGCCTTGGTTTTGTGCTGGTTGGCCTTGCCGAATGGCAGGGCGGGCGTGTCTGGCGACGCGGAGTGTGAAAAGACGGGTTTCAAATTTTCTTACGGTACTTCATTCTTCTGTTACTCCCTGTAACAATGTTTGGTTTTTTTAAAAACCAGTTTTTTCTTTTGCAAACTTATACAACTAATGTGGTTTGGCGACAATTTAGCCAGGCGAGCGTCTGAAAAACAAAAACACGCAGGTCAGTGGGCAAGTAAAAATGATGAACAACTTCATGGAGTCTCGGATCCTAAAGGCAGGTCAAAGTTTGTGGCCTGAAAATATACCTCTCGGCGTTTATTTAAAGTATCCCATATATGAGATTTGACAAAACTAGTATGTTTCTGCCAACAGCGATGAGTTTCTAAATGGTTTGGAGTAATGACTCATTTGAAAACTTCATTTAAAAATGACATAGTTTCTGACTTCTATAAAATCTTCAGCAGTGTTAAAACGATTTTAAAAAATTTATTTTCCACATTCAGATGCGGAGGCAGGGAGGAGTCTACTTGAACTGAAATTTGTGCAAACTGAAAATTTCACTTTGGAGTTACTGTATATATTCTTAGTAGAGGATGATGGTGGTAATGCCAGAAACGAGATTTGGATGTAAAACATTTAGTTGCACATTTTCTGACACTTTTTTTTAAAACCTCACATTTCTCTACTGTTCTTCAATCCTGTGATTGATGGATTGTTTTTCAGTGGTCTAGCTGAGGGAGGGAGTTTTTTGGCCGAGTAATACATTTGTAGAAGAAAGGGGATTGAACTACCCGTTAACCATTTTGCATTCTGCCATTTTTGCCATACATCAAAATTCCATTTGCAGTGAAGCCAAGAATAATTATCTTCAGCTTAGTGATGGCAAAACTACATTACTAAAAATACCTAAAATCGCTTCAGGTCTTACTCTAGAATGTGTGAAGTTAGTGTGATGCCAGGTACTGTCACAATGTTCAAATCCAGATCTGATTCATAGTTCTGTATTTTAACCGTAGTGCTTGGCTCATAGGCTGTGAAAATGCTCCTCTGTTGGATTCTGCTATCAATAAGTCTCAGCTAATGAAATTATAATTCTGGCTCAGTTGTCACTCACTTGATCTTGTAATGACAAAAATACATTAGTTGTTTGCAATTTACATCCCTGTGTTGACTCAAAATTGCTTGAAAGAGCTTTATGCGTATTCCTGTTGTTCACTGTTATGGTAGCAGTCTTCAAATACATGAAAGGCTGCTGCAAAGAGAACCAGAATAATAATCTGTGCTGGGATCGGGAAGTAGTAGTTGGCATAAACTGCAGCAAAAGGACTTCAGACATTGGGAAAACTGTGTTCCAGGTCTCCCTTATGCCTGCTTTCAGAGATTGCCTTAGCAAGGTTGGTGTTTCTGTCCCTGGAGATTATGGTTTGTCAGCAATGATGTAGCTGTAGTTGATCTTGTTGTGGGACAGAAGAAATAGACACAGTCTCTTGGGGTTACTACCACCTGGTTTTTTTGCTATGAATCTGCACCTGCAAGTGCCCTGGTTCATGTTTTTCCCTCTTTAAATGAGCCAAGGAGACTGAAGTATTCTGATATAGTCACACGATGATAAAGGCCAATTTATGAATGCCCAGTTCAGGACAAGTAGCAACTGCAACTTTTAAGCCAGGCTACAAATGTAGAAGTGAAGTAGGGAGAAATGAAAGTTTAGCTCTGCGGTGTTTTTAATTTATTTTTGGCTTTAAAAAAAAAAAAGTAAACACAGAAAAAGAGCAAACTGGTTAAGAATGGTAGAACCTAAGGAACCTTTAGTATACAATGTTAGCAGTACTCTGATATTTTAATCATGTGGCTGTGTACATTATTTGTATGGATTTGTTAATTTTTCAGGTTTTACATGGAAGTATCATCAGCAATTCAGCTGTGTACCTTACTTTGGCAGGCACCTAGCTCAACATTGTGGTAGTTCTGTGGAAGTAGAACTTGCTCACAGTAATGTGTTTAGGAGCATGCTAATATATTATGAGTTATTATGTTGAGTTTAGAGTACCGTAGTGGCATCAGGTATTTATGGATTGTTTTATATGTGCTGCTGTTAAAGTACTGTTTTTTCTGGTTTCAGTTCAAACTAAACAGAGAGGTCCAAACATAAACTTGATATTTTGCACTGCTGTCCAGACTTAAAACAGGAGTTCATGTTGGAAAAAAGCAAAGAAGTTTCAGTTTTACAGTTTTCAAGCCAATATCAAGCTAGTTTGTGATGGCGTAGTCAAATTTTTACTGAGTTCATTAGAAAACAAATTGGAAAAATCATTGATTTTTCTGGATGTGCAAAACTGTAGCTGGTTTATATTGTCATTGGAAGAATTGGAGAATCCTTTTCTTTCTGAATGAATACATTTGATTGATTAGTATGAAAGTATAGGGTCATATTTTAATTGCTATCTAGACATAAAGGATATTAAAATCCTGAGTAAATTGAATATATTGGTTTAGAATCTCAGACTGTTGCTAATTTTTTTCAGTCTCAAAGTACTAATCTGAGACAGTTCTGAAAGAATCTTTTTTGTCTGTATGTTGTAATTATTTGGTAATAAATTTAACTTTTTTTTTAAATTTTTCCTTATTTTACTTATGTAGCTCTCCAACATGGAAATCAAAGACCTGCTTTGCATAAAATTTTAGATAGCTTTCTTCCTACTTCTTTTAAATACCCCTTTTGCCTGTTACAGCCTCCTGCCAAAAATCAGGATTTTGTTAATTTTAGACAAGTATATTTTTTTGTATTTTGCTGTGAAATGTTAAGTTTCTTATTTGTTAATTGTTGTACCATACATCATACTCTAAAATAAACCAAAAATACACTCCTAAATGTCTAGAAAATCTGCTTACTAATGTATACATATGCATATATTTGCACAGTGTACATGTACTCACATGTCACTAAATCTTGAATAATTAAATTTCAGTAGTATTCTAGTATTTTGGTTCTTAAGATTCTCACATGCTCAAAATAGGAACTAATCCTCTGTTTGTTCAAACTATGCATTTATGGTTACACCACACGATAAGGAGTTTAAGTTCTGTTTCTAGGAACCTCTTAAACTGTCCCGTGAGACTTTTTACAAGTTACTTAGGCTCTTTGCCTTAAGTTCCCCATCTATAAGTGATCTTAGGAGGTATGGGTTTGGACTCTCCTTTTACAAACATAGCCAGTGTATTACTGCACTAATTTCTTGGGACTTTGCATTCTATGAATGGAATATATTCTTTTTTTGAGATACTGAAAGAATTTGGGGGGGGGGTTGTTGGCATTTTGGGGGTAATTAGAACAGTGGTGAGTAACTGAACAGATAAACCCCTTGTCTCTGGTTTCTAACCAATTTTAAAATATTTCAGATAAGTTTTCATGCTTTGCATGTATGTGGCTGAACCAATAGAGGCTGTAATAGGGAAGCCTGCAATTGAAATGGTAGACTGTGGAACTATGTCATATGTCATCTTCTAATGTACTTAATAGCAGTTTTAGACAGAATCATTTTTAGAAACATGGCTAGAGCCAAGATGCGTATATAAGCATCTCCAACTGGATAGTAAGCTTAAAGAAAAACTGCTGAGTAAGCTACATTAATGGAAGACAGAAGTAGAGTGTTGTAAGAAATGGAGGAATACTAGAAACAGGTTAGTGTGGCGTTATAGGTGTTTTGTTAGCATTTTTGGTTCAGTAGTCTCTTTTAAAGTTTCCTTGGACATCTATCAAAAGCTATCTTGTAGAACTCAAAGAAAAAAAAAGTTTGATAGAGAAGAAAGTGAATTGTATATTTATAATGAAAATAAAGGATCTTTGCCTACTTTTATATTTTTAAGATGCATTTTTTGTGGAAATTAGTTTCAGAAGGATCTGGCACTTCCCCTTTTTAATTAATACTCATACTGTAAGTAAACAAAAATAGTACTTACTGACATACATTTGGATTTTTGTTTGTTTTTTTTGTAGTCTGTCATTGTGCCTGTTCACAATAGTGAATGCTGGTTAGATGAATGCTTGAAGTCCGTTTGGGAACAAGATTTTAAAGAAACCATGGAGCTGTCAATCTTTAATGATGCCAGTAAGGTATGTTTCACACCTTATGTAAAATACAGTCCAAGTAAATGCTGTCTCTGATAGGACTTTTTGTTTTGGACTGTGTTTGGTTCACCATACAAGTTAAAATAGCTGCATCTATGTCATCATTTTTCTAGGACGGTTCAGCTGAAATAATTGAAAAATGGAAGATCAAGTTGGAAGATGCTGGTGTTCCAGTAATTGTTGGTAGTAATGATTCATCTCAGCCTCGAGGCGGTATGTAACTTAATAGTGATTTTTTTGAGCTGGGTTGTTACTGCAGGCATCTTCTGTTTTTTAGTTTGAAAAGTGTCTTTGTAGCCACTCATGTTGCAATGGAAAAAAAACCCACATTGTTTTCCAGAGCGCCCTGTTCAAAAACTCGTTCTGGTTTAGAATTTGGCCCTCTTGGTTTTGGCTCTGTAGCGTTTGTTTATATGTCCAGGAAAGAAGAACTTGGCTTAACACTTGTGCTCTATTCTGCAAAAGAATTTTGTTTAATTGTAGTATATACAATGTTGTCAATGCTTACAATTTTACTGTGGCTTTCTGATATCTGATTTATCTTCAAGAAATGGGTTTTAAGAAAAAAGAAATCCAGAATTTCTTACATAAAAATTTAAAAAGTAAATGCATATCTTTCAGTATTGTCGAATAGACCATGAAATAGAACAAAATACATTTTTGATATCCCTTTGATGATCAGATCAAAACAGAAGTTTCAGAAAAGTTTTGATGTGAATTAAAAACTCTTGCTAAACTCCCAAGTATTTACACAAAGGGCTAAACCAGTATGTTTAGTGAGCTACTGGATAGGTGTATGGTGTGATTCCCCATTGATTTACATGCTAATATGAATTACATTTACCCGCGGGAAGAGATAACAAACAAACCTCTCTAACAGTTTTTCTTTTGCTTGTTTTGGTTCTTTTACATTTAGGGTTTTTTAGCAGACAAGCTTGCTAAAATGTAAAATAGAAATAAAATTATATAGCTTTTTGAAGAAGCTGGTGTTGAATGGCATTGAAGTTGGAAGATCATGTCTGTGTTCTGAAGGAGAACAACAGGACAAAGCAAGCAGAACAGTATGCTCACATTTTGTATGGGAGCTCTGTAACTGATGTTTTTATCATTCTGGATTTTGTGACAATGAGTAGACAGGTAGGAATTGATATAAAACTGGTTCCAAATTTCTGTTTTTCAGGTTATCTCATTTAAAAGGCACACTTTGGAAACAGTGTAACACCAAATGTGGTCAGTTTCTGTTTTTTAACAAAATGTCCTGTTTGTAACTGGAGAGAAACCTAGGCTTATTACAGTCTCCTCAAAATGACCTTATTATGAAAAAGCCGGGTTCTGTTTCAGAAGGCTTAATTTTCATCCCCTTGTTGAAACACACAAATAAATTGGAGTTTGTGCACTGAATTAATCAGCAGCTTGGTATAGGCCCCTGGCTTTATTTACTGTCATTTCTTTTGAGTGTAGACTTCTTCAAAGCTGTTTTTTAAAAAGTTGTCAGACCTAGCAATACTGAAGTAACACAGCATAACGTAGAGGGAATTTTTCTCTTTTGGGCAACTGATAAAGCTGGAGTTGAGGAATGTCGAGAATTGCTTGTATTCCTGGAAATTTATCTATCTTCTCCTCCCCTCTCCCCCAACTATTGGATGATCAGTCTCCTTTTGAATCTTACTTCTCTTTGTAGCTGATGATCTAGAAGCTAACTAGGTTGTGATTTCTCAGGAAAAAAGTCAAGGAAAAATACCAGAGGTTGTTAATTATGGTGCTTAGGAAATTTGGTTAGTAATGTTTTTGTTAGTACCATCCTGTTATATTATATATTTTCCATTTTTATAAAACATCTTCTGTGTATAAAGTCATGTTCCTAATAGAGTGTTGTATTAATTGTGTGTAAACTAGTTTTTAGTTTGCAAGAACACACAGGTGCAATGTTTTGACGGTAACTTATCTTAGAATTCTGAAGTCAGTTCACCTTTGCACTTTAGGAAACTGAAACTAAAACTAAATTTGAGTTGTGAACTACAAGGAGCATATTGTGCCATTAGAGATATGTCAGATTATTTTTTGTTTTAACATTTTTTGTTGTTGTGATGGCTGAAACCTGAACAAATATTTAAGAAATTGGGGGTGGGGGATGCAGCTGTGAGCATTGTTTTAAAGAATAGTATGAAATGTATAGTTCTTTAAAAAAACCCAAAACAAACACACAACAAAAAATCAAAAAAAAACCCACAAAACCAAGCTTATTCATGTGGAAGTCACTCTCAGGTCACCATTAAAATGAGGACATCTTTTCTTCATGGTTGTTACATTTTAGGAGCAGGTTACTTGAAATCCATAGTATTTGTTTGCTTTCAGTGATTTACTTTTATTATGTTAAGGACTAGTTACAACTGTAAGGAGTCTTTCCTTTAAAAGAAGATGCTTTAGTACAGAAACAATGTACTAGTCAGGCTTCACATCTTCAACTATTTACACAAGATTAGGATTTATTTCTGATTCTTTTCTAACATGTAAAAGAAAGGGGGGGAACCTAGAAGAAAAGAAAGGGTCACTTGCCTAAAAAAAGGAAACCTTTTTCTTTCCAAGAGTGAGGAATGTTAATATCTCACTGAGGCTTAAGTTTTTACGGCTGTAACCATGGTAACAGGCTCTTTTCACCAAGTAAGCAGGCCTTACAAAACTCAGAGACCTGGCACAAACATTTGATTTTGTTCAGTAGAGTAATATTAAAGAAAATTTTTTACTCATGCCAAACATAGGATTTGTTGTGGTGAAACAATTTTTAAGATCTAGTTTCTTCTATGGGGAGTTACATCTCTCTTATTAATAATTTTTAAAATATGTGTATTTTCTTCCTTCCTGTCTAAAAAAAGCTGGTATATGAAAGCTTCAGGATGGTTTCTCTCTTAATCTTAGAAAGAAATACTTTCCAACTTTTTCTCATAACAAATATTAAATATTTCATTATTTTATTTAAAGTGTTTTATTTGAAAATGAGATCTGAAATGCTTCAGAAAGTTCATAGAGTAATATAATTGTCATCTTGTAGTTGCCTTTGAGTCTCCCTCACTTTTTTTCTACATTATTGATTCCTACTACTTCATTATTTTCTACTGAAGGTTGTTGAAATATTGGGGTATACTAATGACAGCATTGAAATGTAAGTACAAGCTGCTTTACAGCTGATAATGATGTATGAAAGTATTTATTTGACTGATGTCAGGCAAATTTAGTTCTATCCTCTTCTTCTACCTCTTGCTTTAGTAGGGACCTCCACAGTATTAGGGTTTTGCTTGTTTGGCATGTCCGGACCTGCTAACTTGCATCAGTTGTTTCCCACTAATACTGCTCATGCCAGGATTCAGCTCTGCTGTTGTGGTAGCTACTGACTTTGCCAGCTGCTTTTTTACTGCCAATAGGAAGGAGAATGAGAGCAACTGTATATGTGCGATTAGATATTCATATGTGTATAGAAAGTAATATGTAAATTTACTGTAAAATAGTAAGTCCAAGAAATCTGTGATTAAGAGAAGTTAAGGTGAGGGTTAAAATACTCAAAATACATAAGAAAAGAATAACATAATTATAAGGAAGAGCCTTTATTAGTAGTGTTCTGTTGGTAGTTGACATAATGTTCCTTTGAGGCAGTAAGAAATGCAGTCATGTCTTTTTCTGTACTTGGACAACTAAGCAAAATAGCCAGGGAGCATGTGCGTTAAAACTAAGTGAACTTTTGAGCCCAGTTAAATTGTTTCCTGAGCAAACTTAAACCTGTATAACATAAAAAGAGTAGGGAATTACAGAAGTCTGCTTTTTTCAAATGCAAAATCAGGGACTTTAGGGAAAATATTATTTAAAATTATCCTGCTCCACTTCCTGGTGAGATTTTTCTGGCTTTACGTTTTCAGTTTTCCCATTAAAGAATAAAAACCCCACAGTATATATCTTCACATCATTTGGTTTGCATGTCAGGACAATCTTTTGCTGGATTCCCTGACTTGGTTCCATAAATACTTTAAACAAAGCTTAAATGTTATGTGTATGGCCAAGTGGAATTCATACAGCATTTTTCAGAATAACACTGCATATAGCATGGTCTTTTCTTACAATGCTGCCCAGGAGAAGAATTTGAAGACCAGAATGTTCTTAGGTAGACCTTGTCTACATACAAAAATTATCCGAGTTAAACACCCCTACCTTGCAGATGTATTTCAGTGGTAAGCTGAGTTCATCTTATTGCTGGTTGCTGCAGTCCCATCCTTACCCTTGTATGTGTATTCCTGGTCCCGTCCTTTTTTTCTGGCTCTGCCATTTGTTTGACCCTCCAGTGCTGTCATCTGCTTCAGAAATTAAGCTGACAAAAAAGTTTTCTTCTGATTCCACTTCCTGAAATGGCTTGGTAAAAGATTCAACAAGTGTCATGGGGTCAGAAATGAAAAAGACCCTAGATGCCAGTGTTGTCTGTCATTTGACTGAATTTGTATTTCAGTGTGGTCTTCCACAGATGGTATAACATGTTATAGTATGAATAAGCCAGGTTTGTGCTCCTTGTACATATATTCTTCTGCTTTGGCTTCCTTCTGCATTGAATGTGCCATTACATAAATGATGCATGAAGTTTTTGTATTTGCATACTTTATATTTAATGAGTATAATGGAACAGAATTTTTTTTTGAGTCTTTCAGAGGACCTGGCCCCCTGATGGAAAGAACAACTTGCCTAGCAATTTCTGGTTCTTTGTTGCCTTTTTATGATTTGTTACTATTTGTTATGACTTGAGATGAATATGTATATACAGCCAAGGGTTTTCAACAGCTGCTCCTTGCAGGGGGGTTGGACTAGATGACTTAAAGGTCCCTTCCAACCCAAAGCATTCGGTGATTCTATGATCGGAGATACTGGATGTGAAACCTAGGTGGCTGGACTCTTCGAGATATGTATTACACAGTATGTCTTTGTGGAGGGCTAGCAAAAGTAGTCTAATTCTACTTGGTGGTAGAATTCTAACACATACAATGGATAATCACTCAGAGAAGATGACTGAAATAGGCATACTATTTAAATATTTACAAATTACCTCATTTCAAATATGGAAAAACCGTATAATTTACCTGATACCATATTTTGTATTTCCTTTCATCTGTTCCTGACTGTAGTAAGATTTAAAAAAAAAAAAAAAACAAAGGTAAAAACTACCACATAATTTTATCTTTGTTTTCTCAACAGTTGGATTTGCTAAAAATCAAGCAGTAATTCAGAGCTCAGGAACCTATCTCTGCTTTCTGGATTCAGTAAGTTAATGCATTTTGTCTAACTTAGTTTTGTCAGTAAAATTCTTTTGTTTTTAATGTAGTTGTTGGTTTGCCTTAAAGACAAGCTGTTTAAAGGTGTTTGCGTGTTAAACGAGCTGGTTACTATTTATAAGTGTAAAGTTGTCTTCCAACCTGTAGAAAGCACACAGCCTTACACCGTTCTTTGATCCTATCGGATTTCACAAGCTGTTCTGAGCAGGCTTGGGCAAGGTTGGTATTTAGGTGTCTTCAGGATTTTTCTTTTCCACATTCTTCAAAAAATTATATTGATGAGAAACTAAGAGCTAATCTACTGGCTCTTTGATGCAAAATAGGAGAGGTCTCACCGCCTTCCATCTTGATTTTTTTTTTTTCTGTCCTTTGTTGGATACCTTCTGTGAACCCATTCAGCTCACTAACCCACAGATAACTATCTGACTTTATGCAGCTTAATATGCAGTGAAGGGTTTCACAAATGTGCATAGCTGATCTGAGGAATGGTGCCATGTGGCTAGGATCAGGCAAGAAGTGCAGGACCTTTAAGGCTCACTGATCTCATGTAATTTCACCTGAAGATTGATTCTTTCCCCTGAATTGGAACTGAACTCTGGTTTAGTGTAGTGGTAGGATGAACTGGCTACTGCAAGTGTAGGTTTTCAGGTAGGATTCAACTTAATGTTATGATTGTCTGTGCTTATTAGAAAGTGTCATGAGAGCAGGGATGTAAACTCTACAGCCTTAAAACCACACAGGTTTTAATTTGGGTAATCTTTCAGTTTGCAAACTCCATTTGTTCTATCAGCTAGATAGAAGGATTTTGTTTGTTTGTGTGTTAAAATTTTGTGAATTAATAAGCATATTGTTGCAAGACATGGTTAAGTGCTGGTATATTTGTTCTGACCCAAGGCAGTGTCTTACCATATAAGAAATTTTTTCTGGTGGCTTTCCTGGCCTTTATTCTTGCTTTTATTAAGTTATTGCTGTATTTAGCAAAACAGTGTGCCTTTTTAAATGAGTTTATTTGAATTTATCCTAGTTTCCCTTTAACAGTTTGTTGTTTTAGGGGTTTTGTTTGTTTGTTTTACAGAGTATTTCATGTAAATCTTTAAAGTTTATGGAGTCAAATGCAGTATCTTATACATATGTGTATATATGGGTATTTCGGAAACAAAATTTTGAACATCCATTGAATATGCAGAACTCACAATCACATGTACAAATTAATGGTGTTTGGAAAGGTCAGTTTCTCATACTTCAAAAAATAAGTATTTCATATCTAGCACTGAGTGTCAGTGTCTGTTTCATAAACAAATTATTTTGAGGAAGTATGAGCATGAAATCCGCTGCTCTGTTTTTGATCACCTGACTCACCAGATTTTGGAAGTGTGTAGGGACATCATAAATTATGCCATGAAGTAGTTGGAGTGATGCCAGTTTTGTTGAGGTGAATGAACTCAAGATCCAATTCTTTTTGCTTTACTTCAGGTAGACATGCAAACCCAGGTGCCATTTAATTTATATGAATGATACCATGGATTTAACTCTCCTATATTGTGAGTCAGTGAGGCTGTTTACACATCTAAAAAGAAAAAAAAAAATAGATCTTACTTAAAATTTGCAAAGTTCAGGTATTCAAGTTTTGGACAGATACATTGTATAGAGCGTTCTAGGGAGTACATAGGATGAGTTACATACCTACTTAGGTTGACTGAAGTTAGCTGAGTCCATGTGCATGACTGAGAAATTAGCCTACTATTCTCTTGTCCCATGGAGCTTCGTATCTTCTGTCTCAAATCTGTATAGAATAATTTACTGAGGTAAATTTTGGATTAGTCTTTCTTTTCAATCCAGACAGATCTAGTTAGTAAATCACTAGCAGTAAACTAGAAAATTAAATTCTTTAAATGAAATTAATTAATATTTTTATAGAGATATCTTCAGAATTCTTAATTTGTTATTTACCTTATGGTGTTTATACAGTATGCATCTTCATACTGCTGTGTTGTTTCTATTTGCTGAGTAGCTGTGCAGAATAAGAAAACATCAGGGAAACAAATTATAAATATTAAGGAATGTAACAGGTGATGATTTTGGATTTCTGCAATATTCGTTAGCATCAGTTTATATTTAATATAATTAAGACCCACTTGAAGTGATTTGGGAATTTTATGACAGTGTGGATAAGCTTGGAAGAAGCTACCAGGATTTTCTCTTCTATGTGTTTCTATTCCTGCTATTGAGCTAGATGCTTCAATATTTTGACTTTTATTAAAGGCATTCTGAACTATCAGAAGCCTAATTTTGATACAAAAGAAATACTAAATGATTGGCGTTACTTAAACGTATTTTCTACTGTCTCTCCTTGTGACTACCATTTTTTGCTGAAAACAGATTGGAGGAAATAAAATGAATGTGGAAACTCCTGCAAGTCTAAAAATTGCTCAATATTTTGGCTGTAGTTAGTAAATGTTTTGTGATAATAGCTGGAACACAGATGTTGCCAGCTGTTTAACAACTCTGCTTCTACACGCCACCTACCTTCTTCGTTTCAGTCACCAATCCAGTATCAAGCTCTCTAGGAAGGAATGTTGATATCAGCCTTTTGGAATGTGCTGCAGTAATGCCAGGGAATTGACCTTCAGAAGTGCAGCCATAATTTCAGGTTTGCTATAGGTGGATGTGGAGAGAAATGGGGCTGGGTCAGTAGTTTGTATACATTTCATATAGGTGGAGAAATACATCATGGCTCCTTGTACATTAATTTCACTTCTTTGAGTGAAATGAATGTACGAGCATATTTGGGAACATCTTTGGAAGTACTGGCTCCGGAGAGACTGTTTTACTTGCTGTTCCAGCTGGAGTCAAGCTGCTTGTGTTATGTCTCTCAACACAGATTTGTGAGGACAACAAATTGGGAAGAAATGTGGAAAAAAAGGTTACAGAGCTCAGAACTGTCAGAATTTGATCAGCCTATTCTAGTATGAAGTGGCAGCTGTTTGACTAATAGCTATTATGGATTTTTTTTTTGCTGTGGTTGTTAAAGATTTTACCTCTAAGCTACTGAGGCATTTTTCCCACCAGGAAAACAAGTAGAAAAATTGAAGATGCTTAACAAATTATTTGTATTTAATATTTATAGTCTCAGAAAATCTTGGTCATAATGACAATAGAATGAACTAATTATGCAAATACATTTAACTGTTAGCTTTACTCTTCAAATTGTCTGCAGTTATGACTTTATTTACCAGTTGCGTTTTATCATAACTTTAGTTTGTCAGCTCTCTGGGGTGGTTACCATCTTTGTTTATAATCACTTATCCAGTTGCAGCATAGCAGGACATTCAGACTAAAAATGCCTTTTTTTGCTTTGAGCTGCTATTTTCATTAGGCATGTTTAAGTGAATGTCATACTTGTATAAAACTATTTCTCGAAAAAGGAACATGCTTTCATTTCATCCTAATAATCTGTGTAGTTCCCCGTTATTTCAGGTTTAATCAATGTGTTGTTGGAGGCTTCCTGACTGTTAAAGAGGAAATGTGAAAATGTGTCCTTTTTTGACCTGCAGTATTTCGAACCCAGTCATATTCACTTGAGTCCTTGACACACTTGTTTTAGCCTTTTGAAAGGCTCTGTTGGCAATTTATTGCTATTTCTGAGATTCTTACGCAGTTCAAAGATGTGACTCTAAACCATGTTGCCACAGTGTCACTGCTTGCTGATAGTTGAAGATGACACGGGGAAACTGTTAAGTTGTGCTCACCAAAAGTGAGGGTGGACCACCGGAATCAGCCTTCCTGTGTTTGAATTGGCAGCTGCTGACCTGTGCCTTTCCATTTGTGAGATTTGCTTGTATGATTTAAGTTGGGAATGTTAATTCTTAATTGCTGTGAAGTTGCATGCTTTTCTTGAGTTTCAAGTTCAAAAACACTTCATTGAGGGGGTATTCTTAAAGGTTTGGAAAGAGGTGGTTGGACCTTAACTAGCCAGACTTGGTAGATGTTTCAGGGACTCCAGCCTTCAAGCTAGCTCTCAGTTATAAACATAGCTGATTGTTTTTACAGTCTCCATAACTTGCTGATTTTGGAAAGATAGATTTCTTGTTAGTTGCTATTATACATTACTCTACAAGCACTAATAAACTTTTGAAATATTCTTCCTTTCTTTCAAATTAACATCTGTATAGCTTAGGAAATGAAGCAGTGATCAGACTTCATGTATTTGGTTTTTGTTTGTTTTTACGTACTATTCCTTGCAAAGTTGATCCTTTGATTTAAAAACTGAAACAGCTGTTACTCAAATAGCATGTAAGGGGATGTAGTAATGAACTCCATTACCAGAAGCCCCTTCTGTTCAGAAGAGTTGTGCATGTTTCTGAATCACTAATGAGCATCAAAAAATGAAACTACAAGTGCTGGAAAGCATAATTCCTTTTATTGTTCTGTAAAGAAGTGCATGTATTAAAAAAAGATTAAATGCCTCTATCTGGAATGTAAAATGTTAATTTTCTCTTTCCTAAATGAAGAAGCAAACCTTCAGAATTTGGTTGCCATAACCTCTCCCTACATATACTTTCATCTGTTTATTAGTTAAAGTGGGTGTTTGGAATTGACAGTGAGGATTTTACTCTTGTCTCGGTTTAATGACTTTGCTGTTGAACACTGTGTGAGTTACTTGCTTCCCTTGCCTGCAAACACTCACATACTTTTTTTTCAGTAATCTAACTGAGAAAGATCCAAGGTGATCTCCGCTAACTACAGAAAGGCTAGATGTGGAAAGGCACATGTCCGCATTTGCTGAACAAATACACCAAGGTGGGAGCTGCTTTGGCAGCAGAAATTTCCTTATCAGTTAATAGTGATAGTGAATTAAAATATTCCATAAAAAGATTGTAATTAATTTTATATTGATGGAAAGTACTAGTCATTCAGGCACATAAGAACACCACATATATCCTCCCATGTAAGCCTTTTTGTTGCCACGCTTAAGAAAAGAAAGGTACTCAATAAAGCCAGCTTCTTAAACTTTGAAGTGTTTTCTTTGTCAGTTTAATGCAGAAGTAGAAACAGAAAAGTAACATTTTTTCCTGTGATCTTGCAAATACTGACAGATCATTAGGGCGTGTTCTGCTCAGGTGAGTTATATGGCCATTAGAGTGCGTAATTCTAATGTGTTTGATAGTGTGGGGCTTCTTTAGAAGCCTGCCTTCTGGAAAATTGCCTAGGATCAGTGTATTTGCTTTGATAGTGCTGTTGACAGGCCAGTTTTTGGAGGTCCCAGGCCTTTTACTTCCATGGTTCAAGGAGTTGAACTGAACAGTAGCAAAGAAAGATTTTCACTATAGTCTGAGCAGGTGCAGGATAGATGAATGACCGTTTGAAGGATTGAAAGACTTTGGAGATGCCATGTTGTTTCTCAGTGAGTCAGTTGTTCCTTCTGGTGTTGCTACAGGTTGTATTTTATGTGTAATAGCTGCAATGGAAAGAAGATGCTATTATTGTGAGGATGGAGTGTGTCAGTGCACTCTTTCCCCCCCCCCCCCCCCCCCAGCAGCCAAATACAAAGGAATTTGGAAAAGCATGTGATGCTGAGTCTGTAATGTGAGCTTAAGAAAGCACTTCAATACTGACCTATAATTAGTGTGTTGTTTTATGTGAACTTATCCATGGTTTTAAAAAGTAGATGTGTATTGTACATTGAGTTGTATGTTTTGTTTTACTTTCTGAAGTGCAAAAACCTCCACTTTTAAGGGAAAATCATGAAGTTACCACTGTGGAGTTCAGTGTGGTCCAGACGGCCTGGATGAAGAGGCCAGTAAATGCTTGTCATTTGAATTTACCCAAACTGATTTAAGAAACACATACTGAAACAACATCAGCTTTGAGTAATATTCTTAAGCTCAGTCTGTTGGTTTAGTTTTCCTTTTCTTCAACTAAACATATCAGTAAAGTAAAACAAAACAATTAGCTCAGTATAAATTGCATGTGTTTTTATAAAGAATGGTGCCTCTGGTTGGAAGGAAAACAACCCAGCTGATAGTTTTATAACTAGCTTTTCTGATTTGGCAGCATCTGTAAGTGGTATGTAACTTGACAGAAGCAAGTGAGTTTTCTGCAGAAGGGATATATTTGATAGGAACACAAGCAGGCAGAACGCTTGTTGGACTGAAAGGTGATGGAGATCACGGCCCCCCACTGGCAGAAACACATCTGGGCTTGTTTAGAAATCCCTGCTGGCTTTTCATGTGAAATAAAGTCCTTTTCATTCTCCCATCTTTGAGCAAATTGTTTTCCTATTCAGAATGGATGCTGGAGAACAGGAAGGATGTTTGCAGTCAACAAAATTCCTATAAATTCTGGGTTATTTTGAGTCCCTAAAGTAGGTTTCTATTTATGTTGTTTTATTTCTTGCTGTTTACCTGTTTGTTCAGCCTTGTTCGAATTGTACATATGTACATATTTAGATGACAGGAAACCCAGCTATTACCTGAGATTTTTCTTAATTTTTCTACTAAGTTTGGTGAGTGGGGTCACGTGAAAATAGATCTACTTACAGATTCTTTTTTATTTAGCTATCCTATTGCAAGTATATCCTCAGTGGAGGCATGCAATTATCTAGCATTTATTTTAAATCTGTTCTTTTGTCCATTCTTTCAGTGGGGGATATCTTTCTTCATCCTGCCTGCCTTATATCTGCTAGGAGACAACCATTAGAGACTTCCATGTTAACAGGGAAAATTGAATTTTAGTGGAAACTTCTATAAAAACTTCCATTTTAAAAAATTATATAGTCAATGTAGTTCACTGCTAACCTTGTTACCTTCCCTACTCGTACTTAGGAGACAGAAACAAACTAAAAATACTTCCCTTTTTGATATAGCAGCTACATTAAGATAGGTACTTTTTTTTTTTTTTTTGGTCTGACATGACATGACTGAGAAATAATTTGGAAAGTGTCTAATTACTGAGGTTTTGTTCTGAGTTATAAACCAAAAAGATGACCAAACTGTTGACTGTAGGAACCAAAGTCTGGCAACACAGTTGCTGAATTCAATATCATAAATACAACAGTTTTGATAGAAAATTTGTGGATAAAATTTGGATAAGATTTTTTAACATCCTAGTTGTCTGATACTATAGTTGCTTAAATTCCATAAACCCTTACCAGTACAGTGCGTGGTTGGGTGTCTCGCTCCTATCAATGGCCTATGAAGTTGAAAAATTTTTAAAGTGCTCTTATTTTGTGGTACAATCTTTTTGGTTTTACTCATTAGAATTTAATTTGTTTTTTAAACACTGGTCCAGAATACAACTGCATTCCTTATGATTACTTCTGTATAAATATATCTGTTTTCTACTTTGTGGTTACCTGCCCAGTCATCAATAGTAAAGAATTTGTAACACGTTGAAGTTGGATTTTGCAGTTAGCTTTCTTTTATAGTTGCCCAACCTGAGTCTGAAAAGCTAAATCACTGATGTGACTGTTTTGTCTGGGATGCGATTTGTATTTTGCGCTGTTCTTCCTCATTGCCTAATAGCTTTATTGTTTTATTAGCAGTTACGTCTTAAACTACTATGTTCTTCTTTTTATTTCTTTCTTTCTCCTTCCATGAACCTGGAAGGTATCACAGAACTATACAGCAGTGCATCACATGTGTAAAACTGTTAATAAAAAAAGTTAAAAAAAAATTTAAAGGTCATTCAGAATAAAAGTTCATAGAGTTTTCCAGCATTAGAGAACAAAGATGTATTAATAAAAAAAGGCATTTTGAACTTTTTGTGGTTATAGTGCCCCCTCTTTAGCTGGATTTTACAGAATACTGATGATCTTGATGATAGCCTAAGACCCAAATCTGTAGACTTGTTAGCTTTGCCAGTAGCATCAAAATGACATAGTGTTTTGTTAGGGGGAACTAGACCTTTCCTGTCAAGTTGTCTGCTTATAAAAACATAACATTGACCTGTTTGGTGAATAGGATATTTGAATTTGGTTTGAATACTTTCCACGCTGATTTAACCTTTTTAAATCAAGTAGATTATTTCTCAGCTTTGTGAATGTATGAGTTCTGTTAAATTTATTTCTGTTGTGCAGGATCATAAACAGTGGAATCTTTTTGCACAAGAGCATATGTTGTATATTGTAAGAGATAATAGTAACTTTGTTCTAAGCATTGAAATTCCTTGCTTTTTGATGGGTTTCTTTTGCATTCTCATTTTTTGAGGATTTAACAAGACAACATCTAAGCATCCCAAGTAATTCATAAAGGAGTGAACAAAGCTCAGTTAAAATGTATCTCCCATTGCTTATATGAAAACCAGGTTTTAATTTACAAAAATCGGCTCTGTATTTGGCATAAAGCAATAGGATTATGGTTCTTCTTGTGGAAATAGGGTAAATGTTTGATCGGAACATTTCCTTGATACAGTACCTGAATTCTGATGCCTTATTGATAAAGCGGATTAGATGGTAAATAATATTGTAGTTTTGAAGTAACTGATATACAGAAGTTGAGAAACCAGGGTGGGTTTTTTTCCCACTCATTGCTTTGAAAATCAGTAACATCTCCTATGCTTATTACTAAATGTATCCTAAATACAAAATACAGGAGAATGCTTTTGACAATGTATTCCTTCCATCTTTTATAAACTTGCATGTGATAAGGGTCAGTTTTATTATTCATTTGTTTTATCTTTAACCTTGAATGGTATTAAATAGTTGGATCTACTTCTAAAACTTTTTTCATCCTTGTGTTGTTTTTGATAAAACTATAGTGTCACCTTTATATCAAGGTTATTCAACCCTCTAAGCTCTAGATATTTAAGCACTAATATATTTTTTGTTGCCATTGATTTGACTGGAAAGTTTTAATGTGAAAGTTGTTAGAAATTCAATATTTGGGGTTTTGGCTTTAGTAGAAATCTCCTTAGAATAATTTTAATGTGAGGAACTGTTAAAAGAATGGATCTAGACCAGGAATTCAGGGCATCTTTGAATTATGTTTGCCTGATAAGGTAGGGTTCTTCAGAAATACTCAGAAGAAAAGCTGTGTTAGCTTTAACCAGCATCTAAGAATGACTGAACTGATCCTTTAAAAGGGAAGAAATATGGCACCAGAATGGAGAAGAATATAGGTAGAAACCTCAGGAGACTAAATTTAGGGAAGAAAAGTTGTGCTACAGTAGACATTTTAATAGGTCCTAAAACTATAGTCTAGAAAGGATAAAATTTTGAACAGGAAATACTATAGTTTTGAAAGGAATAACTCCTGTCTGTTCAAGGAAGGGTAGCAAGATTACTTACTCTTTACAAGGCAACCTGTCTTTTTGTATGTAAACAAAATAGACCTCTATGCTACTTTTTTTTTTTTCCTTAGAACTTTATAATTTCACAAATACTAGTTTTTGTGCTCATGAAATAGGATATATCGGTAGGTCTAGAGACTGAAGGCTTTTCCTTATCAGAGACAAGGTACAGCCAGACTACAAAGAACACTTCCTCATATTGCTAGAATGTCTCAAATCTCATGCTTTTAATCAAGGTTAGTTCCTTGTCCACACATACTGCCAGTACTGCTATTAGAGTTGTTAAAGAGTTGGTCAGTTTCTTTAGAAATGTAAAATGTGTGGCTGCCCATAAGATACACATTGAGATCACAATGCGGTTCTCATGTAGTAGTTTTGATCACTTCCAATTTGAACAAGATTGAGTTTAATCCACTAAAAGTGTAAAGTCGCTTAATATTTGTTCCATTTGTATTTCTGACTGCAAGCCAGTAAAATGATGTTAATCTAGCAGCATATTCTAATGTGTGTCTGAGTACTGTACTGTGACCCTTTTTATGTTCAGTAACAGTGTGCTATTTATTCCAGGATGATGTGATGATGCCACAGCGGGTTAGACTGCAGCACGAAGCTGCCATTCAACACCCAAACAGTGTGAGTACTTTTTTCTTGTGTGTATTTGTGTATTTTTCTTTTACAGAGTGCCGGATACATCTTTAAAAGGATATGAAAATTTCACGGTAGGGCTGATGGAGGCAAAGCAATACCCAGTGTATTCTTTTCCTTTATTTTTAATCCTTGCACTGAATAGTAGCTTTGATTGAACTTCTTTTTCTCCATTTATTTTCTCTGTTCAGTAAACCAAATCTCATTATGACAGTGATACTCTTTTTCAAATAACTATACAGGTTTTGTTAATGCATGTAATCTAAAGGAGAATGCCTTTTTTATGTAGCCTTACTAAGTAATGTGAAAAGCTGCAAAGGATTGGCTACAGCTATGGTTTATCTGTTTTTAATATTTAAGAAACTGTAAGGAATGTATGGGTTGTTGTCATTAATAAATTGGCCTACATTTAAATTGATGTTTCTCCCTGTGTCTGCCTGGAAAAGAAAACATTAAAATGCCATTCTTTATTCTTGTGAAATATACTCTCAAAAATATTCTGTGAGATGGTGGTTTTATGATCAATGTAATATTGATTTTAAATAAATTTCTGTGATTAGTGCCAGTATCCTTTAGAGATAGTTTGTGTATATGTTCTATTTACCTGAAGATAATAAATATAAATAATTTGTTATGGCAATTACTTTATTAGTCAATGTTATTGACATAGATACTCCTTTATAAACTTGAAAACTGAGTTTGTATTCCTGTCAGCAATGTTCAGCAAAAATAGGCTTATTATTTTCACATCTTTGACATTTTCTCTTGTGAGATTTATTTCAACATTCAAGAGGTTTCTGGAAAGGAAAGGTCAATTGACTTGATCTGTCAAGAAGGTATTTCCTGCAGGTCTCAGAACAAAATAGACAGTTTTAGGATTATCACTCCCTGGGAATTAAACACCTTTTAAACTTTTCCTCCGAAACACACTTGCTTCAAAGTAGAGATTATTGCGGTTGTTTCAGCTGAGTGGTGTCTGCCAAACACAACCTGCTGCTTAGTGGTGGGATGTGTACCTGCTCATCACACCACCTATATTAGATCTCTTATGAAATCTGATAATCCTTACAATGTAATTTATCAAATTACAGTTTCAGTAACACCTGAGTAGCAGTTAACCTAATTCACATTATGAACATAATAAAATGATATATCCAAAGTTGTTCTTGTTCTGATATCAATCGGTTAATGTAATTCTGTAGTAAAATGCCAAAAAACCGGAGAGGCAAGTTAGTCAGGTAAGCTTGTCTCATAGAAACCACTGTTAAGAGCTATCCTATTTCTTGCTTATATGAGTTATATACCTATATATTAAAACTACTTTTTAATTAGATTAATTTCAACTAAACAGTTCGTAGTCTGTTTAGAAAACACTTCAACTGTTTTGTTTATATTCTGTTACACTTTAGTGCCTAACAACATTCAGTATGAACTATAAATCAGCAAGCAAGTAACGAGTGCCTGAGTAGACTGAAGAGTATGTCTTCATGATATATTCTAAGCAACACAAACTTGTTCTTCCCATGCTCTAGACTAATCTAAACTTGTGGTCCTGTTATAGTGTGGTACTTGTGGTGGATTGACCCTGGCTGGATGCCAGGTGCCCACCAAGCCACTCTATTACTCCCCTGCTCAGTGGGGTGGGGGAGGAGGGCGGGGAGGGACAGGAGAAAATAAGATGGAAGAAACTCATGGGTCAAGGTAAAGGCAGTTTGACAAAAGCAAAAGCAAAGGCTGCGCACAGAAGCAAAGGTCATCAAAAGATTTATTCTCTACTTCCCATCAGCAGGCGATGTCCAGCCACTTCCCAGGAAGTAGGGCTTCAGTACGTGTAGAGGTTGCTCCGGAAGACAAACGTTGTAATAACAAATGCCCCATCCCACTTTCTCTTAGCTTTTATTGCTGAGCAGAATTCATATGGTATGGAATATCCCTTTAGTCAGTTTGGGTAAGCTGTCCTGGCTGTGTCCCCTTCCAGGATCTTGCCCATACCCGGCCTACTGGGTGAGGGGAGAATGTTGTAGCGACAGCGTTGATGCAGTGCGAGCACTACTCAGCAGTAGCTGAAACACTGGTGTGTTATCAGCACCCTTCTAGCTGCCAATACGAAGCACAGCACTATGAGGGCTGCTATGGGGAAAATTAACTCCACCTCAGCCAGACCCAATATAGTACTACTGGCCTATTTGCAAAGCTTAACTTGAGCTTTGTGCTTTACTAAACAAAACTAGCCAAAGTCAGTCTGATTTAGCATGGGAAATAAGGGTTTCCACTTTTCTGTTATCTGACATATTAGTACCTAAAATCGTCAATTTAGGAAGTGTAAAAATTCTCAGAAATGGATGGAAAGAAAGGCCTGAGATTTTAAACCTTAAGAAAAATGGTAGATGTTTCTGTGTTCCACATATGGCATAGAGATAGTATATCTGGCTAGAGCCTGTCTCATGCCATCACTTTCTCTGAACTTTCTACTGAATCGGGGGGTGTCCTCGCAGCTTTTTGGGCAATGGCCTTGGTTTTCTTTTTTTCTTTTCTTTAAACTTCTGCTGGGTTTTATTTTCTATTACTTCTTGCCTTGTGTTGTTGCCTTTTAGGTGTAAGGATTTTTCTTCTTTGTTCTTGAACCCTACAAAGGCAAAAATGAATCTATGTTTGAATTGAATAGAATGTGTTTTTCCATTTTACAGGTACAGAAAATGTTTGTAACACTTATGTGAAGTATACTTTCTGGGTTCATGTTGTATTTTACAGAACTCTGATTCAAAGGCCTGAAAGGATAAATGGGAACATATCCAGCTGTTCCTGATGAGCAAATAGATCAGTTTGGTCTAGAGCCCCCCAATAGTTCTGACACAACCTGAGTTACGTTGAGAAAAGAAAAGTTGACCTTCTGGCCACAAGTCTACTGAGCGGTGTCAGGGGGGACTGCTGATCTTAAAAGAGTGATCTCTCTACTGTCCTCAGAATAATCGTGCCATTGAATTTTCTGGCCTTGGAAGAATGTTGGGGATGTTTGAATAAAGTTCTGTTCTGTATTTGAAGTTCTGACCCTAGCTTCAGTCAGTATGATAAACCAGAGTAGGCAGAGGCGGTGGCGGCGGGGAAAGCAGAAGCTTGAGACATGCCTGTGAAGCAGTGAGCTTTTTTGGTTTGTTCCTGAAATTCTAATTTGCAGACTTGGACTTTCCACTGTTTTGCAACTTCTTCTGACCTGGATTTCTGACTTTATGTAGTCTCAGTGTACTTTCAGAAATTTTGTTCCTAATCCTAGCCTTGCTGGTTGTTACTGAGAGCCAGATTGGAAGTCTAGTATTCCCAGTGGGCTCTAATACTGGAGGCTTCAGTCTACTGTTGTTACTACTTTAGATTTACAGGTGAGAAAAGTCTCCAACTTTCTCCACTAAGAGAAATCTTCTCCCAGATCCTAACTAGTCCGTGAGGTTCTTCCTCTTTCATGTTATTCTTAAATGCAGATTGCCTTACCCTGACTTGAAGCCTGGTTACTAAACAGCGGAACCAAAGAGATCAGATGCCTTTGGAATGATTCCCCAACCAGTTGTTCTTCAAAGAAACTGGTGGCTCTATCTCTGAAAAAGCAAGAGACTTGCCCCCAGGTTCAGGTACTGGAATATGACCAGGGTGACACTGCAGCAGTCCGTAGCTTTATCAGTCTAATTTCCTGTATTGTAGACTACTTAATCATGCTTTAAAGAGCAAGAGCAAATTAATTTCTACTCTCTTAAGCTGTTCTTGCCTGGAAGACTTTTTAAAAAAAATCTTGTAGGATAGAATTGTTCTGTCATCATTAACATTTAGAGTAGAGGATTTTGGATCTCAAAAGACAAATTACTAATAAATTATGATTTTATTAAATGCAGCTTTCTAGGATCGCTGTCATCTTGTCCTCTGGTGAATATTTTATATTATCTCCAAGTCCTGTTGACAAGGATTCTATAAATAGGACACTCTCAGAAGGCACAAGTTTTTGAGACTTCGCATATTTGTACTACAAATTCTTAAGCTCTGCTAGCTCAATATGAATACCTACTTTTAGCAGTTTGAAAGCTTAGGGACATTGTACTATCTATTGATAATATAACAGCTACCAACACTTTGGCATTGATTGTCCAGTGCACATATGCACTTATGCTGCATACAACCATGCTTCAAATTGCTTATGCTCTAATCAGATAAGGAATGACTTTGTTACTAGAGAATGATCAACTGTTACTAAAATTTCTCGCTCAAGTTTTTGTTTATCCCTAAAAGCAGCATCTGTCCCATTTATCCAGGGTAAGCCAGGTGTTGCTTATTTACCAACCACAAATCATGTATGCTTTGTTGGCAGCTAATGAGTGGGAAGATTCAATGTCACGTTTCCCTTAATTCTGAAAAAATTAGGCCTTCATATCTTATTTTACTTATACTTGTGTTCTTCTGGAGGAGATCCAACTTCATGTACATACTAGTGTTCTATTGAACAAGCCTTCTGAGTTTGGAGTAGCTCAGGAAATTACTTCCCAAACCACACACGCACAATGCAGTCTTTCACGCCTATGTCCCACATTTATTCTGTTATATTATTTGAGCAGAGTAGTACCCTTTAAGAACTCCCAAAGCTTTTCAAGGAGAGAGGAGATAGTTAGCAGTATCTGCTCCCAGGTTGTCTTGTTGCCATGTGCTTGCATCAGGACCCGCTATGGGCATGCAGAGGTGAAATTGCCGGGTATGGTCTGAGTATGCTCTTGGAGAGCTTGCGTAGCATTAAAGAGCTTCTCTGGAATGTGCTTCATTCCTGAGATGCATAGGTACTTGGCCACACATTGCCAGCCATTGTGCCATTATGGAGGCTTTCAAGAATAGTGCAGCACTTGGAATACTCTTCCAGTTTTTCTTTTTCCTAGGGATTCTAGATACTGGAAGGAGAAAAGAAGGGTGCTAAAATGAGATGTACTATTCACAGTCAAAACCCACTAACCTTCTCATCT